CAGTTAAAATTTGATTTTTGTGTGTCACATGCCATGTTGAATGCAGCACTGGTTCAAATTAGATGTTTGTGAAGTCAAAATTCTAAGTCTATCGTTTTGTACGAGTTAGAAACTCAAATTACCAATATTGACAAGCTAGAATATAAAATAAGTACGTCTTATCTTTTCTATTTGCTAAGATATCGTTCATGTAATAAATCAAACAGTGGCACCCTGCCCACTTCTCCATGTTTGGAAATGCTTCCTTATATACACTTACTTCTATATATGATATGAATAACCAATCAGAAACTCAGAATGTCCCACTAGTTTCTTTCTCAGCCATTTTAACAATTGGACAACATTTCTTTCCTTTGAAACAATATTTCAAGGAGGTAGGGTGTCTCTTTAGTCTGCTTGAAATTTCATAATTTTTTAGACTGAAATACATCTTAGTTTCTAAGCTTGATAGATTATAGTATAATTCTATTGTATTGATGTATTAATATATGCGTTTTTAGTTATTCAAATGTATATATAAGACCTAAAAAAAATATTTTGTTTCGTGTCCTCCACATGCAAAATTTTTCAAGGCTTAGCAACTTACATTAAGCAGCAACCAAGTACAGTGGGCATAACAAGAAGAGATGATTGATTACTTTAATTCTTTATTTACTGTTCTATGTTTTAAGAAAAATAAGCTAAAGAACTAATTTCAAAAATAGCAATAATCTATATAATGTATAATAATTGAAATGTAATGGTATTTTACAAAATACTAGTCTACTAAAACACAGCCAAGACAAGTTACTTTGTACAGACCAAAGGTCAATTTTATGTTATTGGATATGGTAACATGAGTGCACGTGTACCGCATCATTGTAACTTCTGTATTATTAGCCAGGCATGGCTGGAAGGCCAATATAAAATAATAAATACATATAAATGTATAATGTTATGAGATTTAAGCTATTTAGTCTAAACATTTCTGTTTTCATGTTACTAATTTGTGTTCATTCTAGAATGAAGGAGGCATAATTTATATTTATTTCCTAATTTTTTTTATGGTGGATACGAGATGTCAAATCTACTGAACCAGTACAGAGATTCATTACTGAAAATAACAGATAAAATATAAAGATTTTTCTTAAGAAATATTTGATAACTATCTGGACATTATAAAGCTTTGGCGTGTGAAATTTGAAAATTTTCTGAGGCATAAAAGTATTTTTATCTTAAAATGAATATTAATTTGCATGTCAGATAGTCAACATGCGAAAAGAAAAAAAAGGCAGGAGAAAAACATTGCCTTTACAAACCTTAAGACTTAATAAAAAGATTTGATATTTTTGTGTGTGAAAGCATTGTAATGTTTACTGATAACATACTAATTTAAAAGTTATAGCATGAAAACTATAACAAGCACAAAACAGTTATGAGGTCAATCCAAGGGATCGAGCCCATGCTGAAGGAGTTAACAATGTTAAAATCAGTATTAGTCATATAAAATTTGTATTTG